ATATATTACAAATTGCGATGCAACAACCCTCCTGGCCTTAAACAGTAGTGATCTGAATGAAGAAAGACATTGCTAATGTCTAAATTAAAAGAAGATGTAAGAAGCTAATGACTTTCAATGGAGGTCTATGAAGGTAGAGCATTGTTATATTTGAATGCTAGTCAGTGAGCTAATCAAGTTTGCCATGTCTAATCTTTCTTTCCCTATAAGTTATCTGTGCTGTGTAATACTTTGTAACTGTTAACTGTAACCACAACTTTCCCAGAAATTCACCAAAATTCCTAGATATCTTCTATCTTCTCATATGTTATATTTTAGTATTATCTGAGTTGGTTCTTGTTCCAGGGATACATGATTTTCTATATGTTTATAAAACAGTTACCAACCTTAGTCTCTGCTAACACAGAGACTAACATAACCTTAGTCTCTCTTAACATACAAGTCTGGTCAAGTTTTGAATTAACTAAAAGGAATTTTGTCATTGATGATTTGAGTTGAATTAAGTGCAGATTAGTACCAAAAACAGTCTGAGAAGCAATGGAGAGTACTTAAATATAGACACTGTCAAGTCTGAAGTAAAACAGTAATTCCTCAGAACCACAAAAACAAATATCCGTATTCAACTAAAATATCTGTTGTGGTCTGCTAATAGGTTGTACCACTACTACCATTTTTGTAAATTTCCAAAGCTGTTATTTCCTTTTTAGGAGAAAGGGAAAAAAGGATTTGGATCACTACAAATTTTGTAATGCTTATAGTATGTGCTCTAAAAATTTCCATTTAATGTGTAAGTGCACTGTAGAGGCTGAATAAATAAAATTTCAATTTGGAAGAAAGCAAGCTTTCAGATGAAGAAATAATAAGCACCTACAGCCTTCAGAATCTGGAGCTGAATTGTTTTTAGTGGAACTCATTTGATATGAGTCAGCCTTAAGCAATATTTTCAAAGTGCTGCAGAACTTCACAAAAACATTTAACTAATTATTACTGGAGGTTTGAGCCAATATTATATTTTTTGCTTATTATCTGCATATAGGCTCACAGGCCTATATGCAATTACTATATAGAGATGTGGAAAACATCACACATTTGCAATAACTCACAACAAACACGGTACCATCTATTTATAATTTGTGGCTTGTTATGTGGCCCATGGCATGATCTTTTTCCTTAATGGATATTTCTTTACCTTCTGCTGCAGTAAAAATATCCAATTAAAATGAACTGGCCTTCATTTTGTTTTGAGAGAAATATTTAAATTAAAAGAGAGCAGTGAACAAAATTACAACTCCATTTACGTGGCAATTTGAAAAGTTCCACAAACACTTTATCTGGGGCTATGTGGTCCTAGAACCCGGATTTCATATTCTTAAATCACTCAGATCTCTTGGTTTTTATGGAAATGGTACTTGCTTCTGAATAAGTACTCATAGAGTTGAAGTTTAGTCACAATTAAGCACTGATGTACTCTACTCAGTACCAGATACATACAGTTTTAAGACTAGAAAGAAGCAGTTGACATACGTAATATCTATTAAGTTTCAGCAACTAGAATATTTTTAGAAAATTAGGACAAAAATAAACAAACGAACAAAAAACCACACAGATTAGGAGGGGTTATTAAGAAGGTATTTTTTACAAGAGAGGAAGGGCAGAAGGGATATCACTAATGACTGAAGGGAGAAAATAGTGGTATTGTAACTCACAATTCTTGAAAGCTAGATCTGACTTAAAGCAAAGTGATATGCTTACCGTGAGGTTTGCTTTCAGATCCTTTTACTAAGATCTACCAGACTTCTTGGCCCTCTCCAGCCCTGTACATGTCTGGAGAAGAAGCCCTGAATCTAGTAAAAAGAACATTTCTGTTAATGTATCACAAGCTGAAGAGAAACAGATGACGGTACGTTCTGATCACATTTTCCATTAATGGAAATAAATAGGAAATAAAGCAGACAAATGTGGAAAGGGGAGAAAAAAAAAAAAAAAAAAAAAAAAAAAAGAAAAAATAAGATGGATTAATTAGAAGTACAGCTACTGTAAGATGAAATATCTGCATGTCCTGACATCATCAGGCATAAAGCATATTCATCATTGCTTTTTAAATTATATGTCATAGGTGAATTTACATGTTATTTTGTGAATTAATTGGAAATTAGCTAGACTATACTCACATTCAGTTTAATGACTTCTGAAAGCTGTGGGGAAAAAAAAAAAAAGGCCCAGAGAGAAGAAATGACCCACCCATTTTCCCACCCTTTGTTGCAGAAGAAACCATACCTCTACCAGCTGTACTTTAGTCCCTACCTGCTCCCCTAAGCATACGTTTATGAGGTGTGTGCTTCCTGAGTTAGAGCAGAAGGATTAAGAAAGCATATAAAATGATGTTGAAGGAACAGCATTCAATCACAGAATAGAGAGAAGGCAAAAATCTTATTGAAGAAAAGGAAAATTCTATTATTTTATACCTTATTCTTGGCATGTGATTCTTCATTTTGACTGTGCAATTTATATAGCTAATTGAAATCAGTTAGCAAGAAGGGAATTATATGAATGAAAAAAATCTCATCTGAACTTTATGTGACCTAAGATCTTACCATATGTTAACTGTAAAATATCATCACATTTGTTTAATAAGATTTTTCTACCAGATATGAAAGATATGCAAGTTTTGTGTTTCTGTTTATAGTACGAGACCAAAGATTTAGACTGGACCTACATAAATCAGTGTAATAAACTACTGGTACGTAAATATAACTTTGCCAAAAACATGATGAGCCCACACTAACATGTAACATACAATGACATATCTACCCAATGTACAATTCTGTTTGTACTGCAGAAGTAAAACCATATCTATTACTGAAAGATCAAAATATCTGTTAACTTTTTATAATGAGCTTTTCTTTCAAAATATGTTTTTGATCAAAGAAAATACATCCAGTACCTTTCCTGTGGATTTTTAAATTGTCTTTACAAATGTTATTCACCATTGCTCAGTTTGTTGTACCTTCTTCCCCAGAGCAATTCCCCAGACACTCCAATGCATCCCCTTCTGTACTCAGAATGTTTTCTTTATTCCAGATAGATCATTTGCTCAATACTCCTGTTTATTGTTCCATTTGCAGTCAAGGCTACAGTTTAGGTTTTCTCTGGTCAACTGAAACTAATGAAGTTATTTTCAGATAAGTATCATACCGTGTATGAGAAACTCCATCTGGTATCCATTTGTCCATGCACAGGACAACAACTTTGTCCACTTTTACATTTCCAGTCCTGATCCCATGCACATTTCACCTACTTAGCTTAGTTTACTATGGCAATCCCATAGCTTTAAATGGGAGGAGTTTTCACATTCTATTAACCATTTAGGTGATTTACATCATTCAGTGTAGCTATGATCCGTCTTCAGGCTTGTTTCTTAATATATAAATGGATCTCCCATGCCACAGTGACCAGCATGACGTCAGAACATCAAAAGAGTAAAATTTACTCCCTCAGAACTGAACTGGTACTTACTACACTGTCCTGCGTAAGTTTGTATACTAATTTTGTTATGGCAGAAACAGGAATTGTAGCCCAGGGGGCTGTAAATATGTGGTGTTTTTTCCCATTCTCTGTGAAGGACACTGAATTATGTCCAATCTTTCCCTGCTTCCAGTGACCCCCACAAGCGTGGTGGCCTAGATGCATCATCATCAGATCTCAGTGGAAGCCCCATCCAGGCTTCTCTGCTGCAAGACACTGCTAGGATTCTCCAGCCTAGATAAATACTGTACCATGACTTTCCATAGAAGTAACTGGTTTCATTCACTGCATTATCATGTGACTTAAGACAAAACTAAATTTAGCAAAAGGAATGGATTACAAAAAGTTATGGAAAAGTAATTTACTCCATACAGGTGATAACAGATAGCAAACAAACAAACAAACCACCACCAACAACAAAATTGATAATTACAGTTATATGTAATTAAACACACAAGGTTCTTTAAAATGTATGTGTTTTCTATATGCACATTTGTCTCCATCCAACTTTAGAACAGAGCTTGCATCCCATAAAAAGAGAAGATATCCACCAATTAGAGATAAGGGAAGGTTCTCACAGAAACATTAGGATCCATTTTAAACAGTTACTGTCTTAGTGCATTATTTTCTTGGCATTTCCCTGTGAAAATAACATTCTTCTCCAAGCTGTAAGATGCATTCTTGAACTACATCCACGGAATAAGAAACAGACAATGTAAAGCTGAGTAGTTCCAGATTCTGAAAAGCAGAAGAAAGTTGTAAGTGTAAAAATGAACAAACATATAAAGTTTACAGTAACTGCTGAAAAAAAATATTCCTCGGATGTGTTTGTACTAAACAGACATGCATTTAATCACCAAAGAAAAGTTAGAGACCATGTAAATTCCTAAGCTTTGTAGAACAAACTTTGAACTCATTATTTAATGCTGAGCAAAAGGTTGTAATTTAAAGATAATTTTTACATCTTATAATCTAAGTCCTTAAGCTAAAAGTTGTATTAAGGATGTTTTATTGTGCACATATTACAAAAATAAAATAAAATAAAATAAAATAAAATAAAATAAAATAAAATAAAATAAAATAAAATAAAATAAAATAAAATAAAAACAAAGGAATGAGTCACTTGGCTAAAGAAATACAGCAGCACTGAGGTCTTAGAGCTATTTGTTAACTCATGTCTAGCACTATAAAATAAGTTGGGAAACAAAAGTCTGTTTAAAATTTGTTTTATAAAGGAAAATATTTTCCTTCTAAAATACAAAAAAATCTTTGTATAAGGCTGTGGCTAGTGGTCTAAACTTTTTCAGATTTCTGAACACTTATCATTCTCTCATCCCACAGGAAGAGCAGATGGGTTGTCCTTGTACAAAATATGGTATCCACCTGCACTTCATTAGAGAGCTGCATTTTTGTACATGCCACACCACAAGATCACCATGATGACATAGCAGCTTCAGAGAACAGCGTGACTAGGGCTTTTTTTTTTTTTTTTTTTTTTTTTTTTCTCCTCCTGTAACACAGAGGATCTGGCAGACTTTTACCTCCTGACACTGTTTACAGCATATATTGGTCGATACAGTCCCTTATTGCATCTGCTCTGGGAATAAACGAAAGCAGCTTCAAGGCAGTAAGGTAAGTGTTTCTGCATGTTTTAACTGTAATGTTCAGCTATTTAAATGTAGTTGTAATATGAATGTGAAAACATGTCAGGATAAGTTTGCCAATTTGTAAATTGAACACAAATCAACAGTTGTTTAGTACATTTACTTTTTTAGTTTCCCTAAAACGACCTCACATGTTTTGTGCATAAATCTTGCTCTCATTTCGTCTGTTTTGTTTTACTTCAAAAGAAGAATTGTTGTACAGTAGAAATATATTTTTAAAGACTTATTCATTCATAGTATATTAGTAATAGCTCCATAGCACTCCGTTTGTTAAATCATTTTGCTTCATTTCACAAAAAGACAAGGCATCCAGACAGTGAAATATTTAATCAAGTAAACAACAAGAGGAAAATCATAGATACTTTGAATAATGTAGTTAATTTTAAGACATATTTGAAATATCCTATTGAAGCTTATTAATGATACCTCTTATGCAAATTGTGTAAAACATTATGCTGCAGAATTAAGGTATATTTATATTTTATATTACAGTGGGATCATAAATTTATATTTATTTTATTTCACAACAACTTTAGAACTAAGGCAGTATAGGTTCCAAAATAATTTAAATAGTTTGTCTACTCTACTGTAGTAAGCATTTTTTCCAAATTTGTGGATTTGTCATTTAGTATGTTTTGGCATGTCGCCTGAGCAACTTCATAAATGTTTTCACAGGTATTTTACAACATAACTGAGTAGAACAAACACAAGCAATCCATTCAAGAATGCTTATATTTATAAGATAAACATCTAAGAACATATTCTGATGTTATCTTTTGAATTCATATAGTTCAGTGTAACAACCAAGTATGTGTACATGATCTATTTACATCTTACATTTCTGACAGAGAAACATTTAGAACCATGAATGAAAATAAATAAATAAATAAAATAAATTAACTACACTAAATATTTACTTTATTGTGCTATTTTATGTCAGACACATACACTTATGGCTTTGCAATAAGGAATTGGCATCTAAATTTTAAATTTTTTGATAAAATCATTCAAAAAAAAATTGCTGTCTAACTCCAAATTACTTCCAGGGTTTTGTGAAGCAGTTAAACATTGTATACTCTTTAAAATAACTATGTCAGCCTCAGTAATAAATCAAGAATAATGAATATAATTTATAAATACAAGAGCGATAGAATTTGAATTTAAAAAAAAAAATAAGTTTACTCTACTTTATCAGTAAGACTATAAAATAATGAGGACGTATAAAAATGTCATTGTAAAGCCAAAGAACGTAGTCCAAGAAGTTCTCTACAGTATTTTATATTTTGAGAACAGAAGCAGTTAGTCTCCTGTCCTTAATGTTTAGTACTTAAATATGACCAGATTTTGAGGTGAATTTTGTCAATGTAATTTTTCTTTCAGAGGAGCTGTACTTACTTATACCAGCAGGGGACTGAAGATCAAGTTTTCATGTTCCCATGCAGTAATAAAGAACAAAGAAAATTACACTGACAAATCACATTTGATTGATTCTCTATGCAATACTTTGTAATTAGGTAAATGTGATGAAACCAACACCATGGAAAAAGATATGCAATACTCCTATTCATCCAGAAGACTTATTCTCCAGCTTAATATCCAGCAGAGGGGCTTTTGGGATGGTTGACCAAATTAAAAAAAAAAAAAAAAATCCTTTTTCTGCACCAGATCAATAGGCCCTGCTTAGAGTTACTTTAGTTGAGTGGTTATGTAGATTTTATCAAGTTAATAAAAGCAAGCCAATTTAGTTAAAGACTTTCTAGCAATGACCCTGCATTTCAACTTTAGGTATTCTGTGTTACATGAAACAGTGCCAATAGCAACGCTGACTTTTCTGGAAGACTGCCTAGATGTGAGATCAATGCATAGTGGTCAGTTTAAAGGCTGTACGTGCTGTCTCAAATTACTTGAGAGCATGATTTTACTAAGGATTTTCTTAATTGTCTCACTCTTTAAACAGTAGTTGAGTACACTTTCACCAGTGAAAATCAAAGTTAGTTCACTGACTTTACAACACAGAATCCATGTAGGTAGCAAGAAATATTATCAAGATATTAATCTATGAAGATTGTGATATAATAATAAATTAATATCTTATGAAGTATGCCTTTAAAATGTAAGGTGAGATCACTCATATTGTATCACAATAAAATACCCAAAGACACTAAAACATCCTTTAGCTATATGTGATCTAGAAGGCCAACTATGCAAAGCAAGTACTTTATTAATTGATTTATTTAGAATGGTAACACAATGTAATTATCACATTCATTGTTATATATTGACTTTGCAAGGACACTTGCACTATCTGAAGTGCAGTCATTTCAGATCCACTGTAGACCCCTGTTAGAGAGATTATACTCATGCACCATATGTAGTACTATATGTAGTACTGGTTGACAGGTCCAGGAGAACATATACTATGTTTCTATGAGTTTGTTTATCTGAATATGAAACTTGGTGGAACTTCCTACCTTTCTTTAGAGGAAATGGGAGAATAAAATATTTCAAGCTACTGGAATTTAACAACAAATTATATAGTAGACCATCCCTCTCAGTTTGTAACTTTCCTGACCTTTTTGAACTTAATTGAAAACATCATATGTTATTTAAACATGAGGAATTCTAACATATTAGTAATAGCAATGAAAGCTTGATAGAATTTACATGGAAAAACTATCTCTGAACATGGCCTTCAGCAAAATTGGAAACTCTTCTGTGCCAAGTTTAGAAAACTTGGACATTATCATCCTTATTGTAACTTGATGAATGGCTGCAGTATGACTTTAAAAATGTGTTATTTGCAACAGCAGAATAACCTGCAGTTTCACACTACAAAGGAAGTTTATAACAAAACAGGGACTGTAAGTTTGTAATAGCAACTGTGCATTACTAACAAAGGAATATATTTTTATTATTTAATATCTTTATATGGGAAGCCTGAATTGATTAGCTTTGAATCATAGTCTTTGTGTGCTAAAATTTCAAATATTGATTAAAAAATCAAACAAAAAACCAAACAAACAAAAAAAACAGAATTGTAACTTTTTTATCCCCCTTCACTATACAGGGACAAGACACATTGAAAAGATGACTTTAAACTCACTGCACATTTTTCTGGTATTGATTAGTGGCATTTTTTGCCAGTATGATTATGGTCCTGCAGATGATTATGGTTATGATCCTTTTGGGCCATCCTCAGCAGTCTGTGCTCCAGAATGTAATTGTCCTTTAAGCTACCCTACTGCAATGTATTGTGACAATCTTAAACTGAAAACCATTCCAATTGTACCAAGTGGAATAAAATACCTTTATCTTCGAAACAATATGATTGAGGGCATTGAAGAAAATACATTTGATAATGTAACAGACCTACAATGGCTTATCCTAGATCACAACCATTTGGAAAATTCAAAAATTAAGGGAAGAGTCTTCTCTAAACTAAAGCATCTGAAGAAACTTCACATTAATTACAACAATTTGACTGAAGCTGTTGGACCACTCCCAAAAACTCTGGATGACCTGCAATTAAGTCACAACAAGATCACAAAAGTTAATCCCAGTGCACTTGAGGGGCTGGCAAATCTGACTGTCATTCACCTCCAGAACAACCAGCTGAAAGCAGATTCTATTTCTGGGGCATTTAAAGGACTGAATTCACTTTTGTATCTTGACTTAAGCTTCAATCGACTCACAAAGCTACCAACAGGACTGCCTCACTCCTTGCTTATGCTGTATTTTGACAATAACCAGATCTCCAACATTCCTGATGAGTATTTCCAAGGTTTTAAAACCCTGCAATATTTACGTTTATCCCACAATAAATTAACAGATTCTGGAATACCAGGCAACGTCTTCAATATCACATCACTGGTTGAGTTGGATCTCTCCTTCAATCAGCTGAAGAGCATTCCAACTGTCAGTGAGAATCTTGAAAACTTCTACCTCCAAGTCAACAAAATTAACAGTGAGTTAAATTTGCATATTTTCATTTCTGTTTACCACTACCTAGACACTAATGGTTGATGCAAGTATCTGGAAGTGTAGTTCAACCAGTTTAAATAAATGGTACTGACTATCATTTTTCTTACTGTTGCTTGCATTGATATTAAAAGACAGACATTTAGCTATGCAAATTAATCTTAAAGATACAATATTCTATTTTCATACATATATGGTTATTATTTGCTAAATACTCATCTCAGGTACACTGAAGCACCTCTATCAAAATCAATGGAGTGCACATATACAATCTAGAAAATAAACAAACAAACAAAACTCTGGGAAAAGTTTAATCAGTGTGGAGGATAGTCATAATTTATAAGTCAAAAAAAGATAGCTGAGAATCAAACTACAGTATGTGCAACCTTTCAGAAGAGTGTCAGTGAAAGTGCTGGAGGAGAGGAGAAAACAAGAGTACAATAAATACTAGTATAAACACTTGTGATACTAGGCACAAGGCATAATGAAAAAGACAATGAAAAAGCTTATATACATACATACATACATACATACATATATATCTTTTTTTTTTTTTTTTCTCCCATTTCCTGCCCTTCCACCTAGCAGATCCTGATCCTGTTGTTTTCTGTTTTTAATTCTCATTTTCCGCATCAGATGATTAGGTGTCAAGTTTGTCTCCATTCAAACATGATTTTAAAACAGTTCCTTCTAAAATCAATAACAGCCACACCTTGTACGAGATCATGGAGGTTTCTACTGAGACAGAGCTTTTAGAAGGTTTTCCTAATCCTAGGATGGAAAGGAGATACTATAAAGCTGGGCCAACCCCACCTTCATGTTAGAAGCTCTCCAGCTGGATCTCTGTCAGCAGTGGCCTCTCATGTAGAGGTAGTAAGGTCAATACAGCATTTCTGCTGGAAGACTTACATCATCCTGCTAGCTAGCATAAACTATAAACCATAAAATCCTCATCTTCTTATCTGTATCCATCAGGGGTCTAGGATACCAGTTAGCTAAGAAACATTTTTTTCCATACTCAATACAGACTTGGCCTTTGCAGCAAAATATTTTAATGGAGATCTTACCAGGGAGAAGGCAAGACCTTTTGTTTGTTATTTACTGTTTCACATGTTCCTCAATATTATGATTTTTTTTTTCCCCTGTATCTCATTTCCTTTCATTTCCTTGTTTTGAAGAGGGAAAAAAAAATGAATTAATGCTTCCCACATGAGGTACTACATACAGCAACCTGTAGAACTCTGTCAGACACTCTCTTTCCTAAAAGAGCTGTTGATATTTAATTTATCCTAAGATAAATGAGGCAATTTTAACTGATTAGAATGGCTTTTCTGAGCCTTCTGCAAGATACCCAGGTACCAACTTTGTTTTCCATTCATGTTTCCAAGGACTTCTAAACAACTGTGACAGCAATATACTTTTCAATGAAAGCTGTATTTCCTAAATGCTAGTCAGCAGGAGAGGGTGACAGTGTAAGGAGCAGGACAGGCTACTGCTGCACTTTCATTGCTACCATATGGAATAATGCAAGAGAGCTCTGATTTACTCTTTTGCCTGAAAAAGAAATGTAGCAGATTTTCATAATAGATTTCCTTGACTATCTAATTTCACAGAAAAGATATTGTGTTCCCTAATATGCTAATAATCAACGTGGGACAAGCAATAATCATTTCTTTTTAAGGAGATACTATTTATGTGCTAGGTTTTGCTCAGCTTTTCCGTTTAAGTGTAATGATGTAATGAAGTGTAATGTTATGTGCTTGTTGGATCTCCAAGCGAACATAAGACCAGTGTCTTTGCTCTCTTCATACCTCAAACTCAGAATGGATAAGATTGAATCTTCTTTTTTAGTATGTCTTTTTAAATAATTTCAGGGTGGAGTTTCCTGATTAATGACAACATTGGTTTACTCCCATGCCTTAGGATTGCATTGGGATTAAATACATATTTGTAATATTTATTATTATATACGTAGATTGCTCAAGGCAAAAATACACTCTGTAGTTATAGAAATCAATGAGGATCAGTGAAGAGGGTCCACAGATGGACTTCTCCATATTTTACTTATGAAGGATTAAGGAAACAGTGGCTTCCACATGAATTCCTAGCAAGAAGATATCATATGAATAGAGTATTACAAGAGGAAACTTGAAAATGTTCAAAGGGACAGTCAGTAGACAAAATATTCTGCTGGATCAGTAGCTGTACCATAATTTTAATTACTATAAACACAGTTAGTTGGAGAGATACTTCGTGGTATTTTATCTGAAATACTTTAGCAATCCCAAAATGTTTTTTTTACAGTGGCTTGTACAGTAATGACTCAGATACAATTACTATAGGACCACAGACCAGCAAAGGTGACTAGGACAGCTGATCCCATTAATCTTTTCTGCTGTGTTGCACACCTGAACAAAAAATCTTAACACTATTAATCTTCTTCAGCTTAAGGCTGCTTGTAGTCCTGATGTGCAAGGGATATACTCTTGCCTAGCATATAGTCAAAATAAATTCTGTCTAAAAACCTTAAATATTTCTATGGTCCTATTTTTCTCTATGGGTATAAAGAGGGCAAAACATTCAGAGGGCAAAACATTCTCCTGACTTTTTTATATTTTTTCTCTCTCTTTAGATATTTCTTATTTAAATATAGTTAAAACAACAGAATTTCTTCTGGGAACAGACACATTTAGTGAGAAAATAACTGTTCAGGTGAAAATCCAATTTTTACCCAATCCTTGTAACTATCTCTTTGTCTGACTCATGCAGAAATTCTGAGTAGGGAAAATATGAATGTCATACTAATAGCAGAATTCAATGTTCTTTACCTCTAAACCTTAATACTATTTAATCAGAAAGATATTTGAACAGGAACATCTGAAACATGAATCACTTCAATAAAGGAGGAAGTAAACTAGTAATGTCTTATGTGCTTCAGCTTCACAGATTGCAGTTTCCATACAGAACATATAGAACACATTGGGTGCACTTCCAAGAAACACTTATCTAATTTTCTGCTAATATAGATACAATTAGAAAACAGATATTTTTAATATGCTTCTTACAAATGACAATTATATGAACTGCATAATAAATTAATTCCCAAATACATGCACTTTACACCAAGAAATGGAACCAAATATCACTGAAGTCCATGACAGAGTTCCTTTGACTTCTGTGAAGACTAAATCTGAATCTACTTGCAAAGTTGTCTCAATCTCATAAACGATCTGCACAGCTGGGTATTTTGGTAACACTAATAAACTTGCTTACGTGCACAACATTTACATATGAATTTGTGCTCAAAAGTAACAATATGGTAAACAAAGAAGTAAATTTTGAAAACTTATATATATATATGGTCTTCAATAAAATTATATTTACTGTGTCATTTTATTTTCCATTAAAGACTAGAAAACGAAAAACATATATATTAAAATTCATGTTTATTTACCAATTTACAAATTTTACCCAAAAAATCTCCAGAGACCTTGGCCTAGATAACAAATGGTTGAGGCTGTAGGCCAAGCAAACTTGTTTTCATACAACAAAATCTACACAGATCCAATCCTGTAACTTTTTCTTAGATTGCGTGACCCTATCTCATGAGAATCATCAGTTCACTTCAGTGGGTACATTAACTGGTAAAGTATTAGAATTGGTCTACAAGTTTAATATTGTACAATATTCCAATCTGGACTGCCCGATACTTGTTCCATTAAGAATGCCTTTTTTATTTCACCCTTTCAGAACAAGGTTGTAAAATATTCAAAAATCAAGGATTTTTGTTTTTGTTGTTTTTGTTTAGTCTAAAAACTCTTGGTGATCAAGATCTAACACTTGAAATACATTTCCTCAGTCTCCACATAATATTCCTTACTTTGTGAAAGATATGCAAATATTTACCCTTTCTTTGACATCATCTCTCTGTCTCTAACAAATTAACTACACTGTCATTCTTTAAAGATCTGCCTTTAGAGATGGGTGTACGCTTATACCTAGTTTACACAATAAATATTTCATCAAGTATACAAGATTATTGTAATGTCAGTTCTGGAAAAATCCAATTGAGGTTAAAGTAGAGATATCAAAGATATCCACTTCCTCTTCCATTAGTACTACAACTGAATGTAGGTCACCTTGTTTTCTTAAATGAGATAAATAGTCATGCAGAAAGGATATATAATGTGGTATTTTCAAAAACCCATGAATGACCTATGACCTGTAGTCAAAAGCGTTTTTGATTTTGAGAATCCTACCTTGATTTCTCAGAAATTATGAGAGCTGATCCTCTGTACCGCAAAAGCATTTAATAACGTTTAATCGCTGACAAAAAACTTAAGAAGATCAAGTCTCTCAGATTGGTTCTTGAGTGGTGACAGTGTCTGAATCAAAGGGAACTCAGAGAAGAATGAAAAACTATGTTTGCAGAGTTACACAATGTGCTATACAGTGGACATTAAGGTAATCAGGAGATTCTCTCCTGAGGACAAATCTTTTCTGAATGACTGAGGTATACAATTCATGCATATGAACTTATGTATACCGAGCACAGAATTTCTGTTTCATACATTTTTTTTCTGCTTACAGTTAATACTGCTCATAACATACAATTTCCACTCATAGTCTGCCATATTTCAATTGGATGGAAGCTATACATGGCATGATATGTGAACTGCAATAAATATAAATATTTTTACTTTTTTTTTTTTTTTTTTTTTTTTTTACTTTTATACTTACCTTGCAGTCCTGCTTTTCTGGAAAGGTTCAGTTATATGATTTAAATGTCCACAGCCCAAATTTCATTTTAAAACTAGTAAATTAAAATGAAACATTCCAAAAATAATATTTTACAAACATACTCAGGGGACTGCCTCTTCATATGAATAAGATTATATTATGTACAGCTTTTCCAGAAACTTATCCCTTCTTTCCTTCTTATTCTTTCTTTCTTTCTTTCTTTCTTTCTTTCTTTCTTTCTTTCTTTCTTTCTTTCTTTCTTTCTTTCTTTCTTTCTTTCTTTCTTTCTTTCTTCTTTCTTTCTTTCTTTCTTTCTTTCTTTCTTTCTTTCTTTCTTTCTTTCTTTCTTTTCTTTCTTTCTTTCTTTCTTTCTCTCCCCCCTCTCTCTTTTCTTCCTTCCTTCCTTCCTTCCTTCTTCCTTCCTTCCTTCCTTCCTTCCTTCCTTCCTTCCTTCCTTCCTTCCTTCCTTCCTTCCTTCCTTCTTCCTTGCCTTGACATTTCTTTCTTTTCTTTTTCTTTTTTTTTTTTTTTAATGCCAAATTGAGCCTCTAAATAAAATCTGAAGACTTAAAAATTAAATAGATGCTGGAAGCACACAGCACTTGAAATACCCAATCTTTAAATTCTGAACTTCTCACAATTAATGTGAAGAAGCTCTCTAACAAAACCCCCTGAAGTCCCAGTAAGCCCAAGTAGAATGATATAAGCAGAGACACACAAAATATTGAAATAAATAAAATAAATAAAATAAATAAATAAAATAAATAAATAAAATAAACAAATAAATAAATAAATAAATATAGAACTCCCAATTTCTAAGATAAAAAGAAAAGGCAGAAAAATAATATTTTTATCTCATTTGTCTTAATTATTTGTGCTTTCTCTTACTCGTGTCCCCTTTGTTTCAGAGTTCCCACTGAGCAGTTTCTGTAAGGTTGTTGGACCATTGACCTATTCCAAGATCACACATTTGCGCCTGGATGGAAACAATCTCACTCGGGCTGACCTGCCACAGGAGATGTACAACTGCCTTCGGGTGGCTGCCGAGATCTCACTGGAGTGAGATGCCTCAGAATCTTAGATTCCCTTCTAGGTGGTCATTATTACATGAATTACATCAAGATAGCTCTTTAAAATTAAAATATGCCTTAAAAAATATCAGTCTGCATATTAACCATTCTCTTTGTTAATATTTAGCATGCAACACTAAGACAACAGTAAAGAAATGTGTGCATACTTTTACAAATGCTTGTATTTAGGAAGCACAAGACTGACCAGATGTGGTGTAAAATATGCCTTCATCTGGTTAGTTAAATTGAAGGAAAACATTTGGCCTCATAGAAATCTACATCCATGCATTCAGTATGTGCCATCTGGTATCAGACATAACTACATAGTCAGATGGGTTTCATCAGAGCGTTGAGCAGTATGGGCTAGCCTGTGTAAATAGAAGATTCTCCTGCAAGCAATCCAGCATTTTTAATTATTCATGCCTTGCTCATATTACCAATCTCAAGGGAAAACAAATGATTTAACAATATAAAAACAGTTTAAAATATATGAAAATATCTTTCAGAGACCATTACAATATACTATTAATGGAATATGTAAAAGATAACAGAATGAATATTTTTTCAGGTTAAAAATTGTTTATTTTATTTTATTTTTTTTTTTGTCATGTTTCATCTAAATTTTCATGGCAAGATTTTAATCTATTGCTGGTAAAATTCTTATTTCAAAATAAGTCATATATACAGGTATTTTTATTCAATTACTTGCATGCTAATATTATCCAAAATTGTAGAAAATAAAACATAGCAAATAGTATTTCTGTGCCAATATCATTGTCAACTGTGTTTCAGTCTTTTATAAATTAAAAAAAAAAAAAAAAAAAAAAGGTTAAAGTATGATAATCTAAGCTATTCTATTTTGCAAAATTTATTGTAAGATTAAATAAACTGTTTTCTCTACTTTCAAGTTTCAATATGTTTGTAAAGATATAGTTTAACACTGTACTTGTGTTGGTCATTAAGCCAATGTCTTATGGAGTTTGCAGTATGGGAGTCACAGAACCATGCAACAGTGTGAATTAATTCATCAATGTTGTCAAAAGAACAATAAAATCTCTCAGAAACTGCAGAAAATAAGTAAAAGGTAAACATAGCTATTCACAATAGAGAACAGTAGTATATTCTACCTGGGAATGAATAGTCCAAATATTGTCAGCATTCTGGAACACACGTTAAAATAAATGCAGATGAGAATTATAAATAGGTTGTTTGCAAACACAGATAATCCCAGAGGTACTCCTTCCCCTCCAACTACTAGGCTATTAAGCACTCAAACAGAAACTTGCAGTTTCCATAGCAAAAAGAGAAAATATCACCTCTGGAAAAAAATGCAATCAAATAAAATAAAGAAAATAACAAAAAATCTCAAACAACAAGACACCTTAGTCAGCACCTTGCCAGTTGCAAGTGTTCAGAATCAATATGTAATCCCAAGGAACCCTAAAATTAATTGAAAAAAAAATTGAGGTGCAGGAGACATTTCCCTACTTATTTTTGTCATTCGGAATTCATAAGTGTTATTACTTTTATGTGCACATACAGGAAGGACTGAAAATAACCTTTGCTTCAAGTAAGCTAGAATTTTCATAAAAGTCTAAAGCTGAATGAGGAATGAAGTCTAAATCTGGGAGTTTTGTAAAACATAAGAATGGGGATCATTATGGAACAGAACCTAGGAATTGTAAAATGAGAAGAGAAAAGAGTTCTTCGCCAGGGGAGTTTTAGGTTAGATGTTAGGAAGAGCTTCTTTACTGAAAGGGTTGTTAGACACTGGAACAGGCTGCCCAGGGAGGTGGTGGAGTCACCATCCCTTGAGGTCTTCAAAAGACGTTTAGATGTAGAGCTTAGGTATATGGTTTAGTGGGGACTGTTAGTGTTAGGTTAGAGGTTGGATTCGATGATCTTGAGGTCTCTTCCAACCTAGAAATTCTGTGATTCTGTGATTCTGTGAGTGCCAAAAAAATATTAAAGAATTAACAAGTAGAGAAGGTTATGGGAAAATTATTCAACCACTTCCATAGATTTTTTAACCCAGATGTCTTTTTCACAGAAAACACTGAACACTAGGACTTCTGCAGCACAAACCAATACTGAAATATATTGCCACTCAGCTGTGATATAGCAAACAGGACAGAAAAAAATCTTTTCATTTTTTTTTCAGTGAGTAATTTTTCTTTGTGCAAAATGAAACTGTGAACAGTGAGACTGAAAACAGTTCACCTCAAGACAGATTAAAACCTCTTGCTGAGGGTACTTTCTGCATAGCCAGTTGTTACATATAAAACATCCACTGATGTTCACAAGGTCTTTTATTCAAGGGACACAAGAAAGTGAAGCTCACTGACAAAATATCAAATTATCAAATGATACCAGTGAGCTCCCTCAGAAACTGGGAAACCTTTATCTTGCAATAAGCACTTGGACAATTAAGAGAAAATAGTATTTGGCAGCACTGTTTTGTGTTGAATAGCTCTTTCCTATGATTTGGAAATTCCCTAAAAAAATAATAAAAATACAGAACATGATGTCCCTCCACTAAAGGAGAAAGGGGACATTATATCCTGTATCTCTTTGCTCTTATATTGTAAACCACAATAGCATACTTTTGCATTAAGTGGTCATTTTAATCACTATAAAGATTGTTTAAATTCCCAGTCCCTATGTCTAGGAGAAGCAGATATACAACGATATATATTATGTACCTTATACTAAGGTGCATCAGTATATTTTAGTTCTCATTTTATGAAAATTACATAAATAGTTTTGTAGGCACTGGACAGAAATATAGGTGTTCAGTAATCCTTAATAGAGCTAGAGCCTTAGAAACTGAGTCACTATAACTTGCAATTTCTGCTCTTTCTGGAAGGTAAGTTGATGGAGCTTGGTTATACAGGCTTCAGCACCCTGGATACAGAAAAACGTGTTGCATACACCCTTGTTCTCTCCTAACCTTGGTCATATTATGAAATACATGTATGTACAGGAGCAAATCTAACTTAAAAGTAAGCAGACATTAATGGATAATAACACAGCTGCAGTACTATGGAGATAATGAAGTCTGTAAATTAGCCTGAACTAAACTCTTTTTAGGACTACAAATAGGCATTGGGAAATGTTCTCAGATATATGGTTTAATTTTTAGGTGGCCCTTTGTGGAGCCAGGAGTTGGACTCAATGATCCTTGTGGATCTCTTCCAATTTGGGATATTTTATGATTCTATGAAATCATGAAAACCAGGTGAAGCCTCCCTGTTATCTTCAATATAAGAAGATCAGAAACTTCATAATTGTACAGACCTTCTATATAAAAATTACCCTAAAGGGCCTATTATGCTTCCTGAAAATAACTGCCTTAATGACCACAGTGCACATGAATTCCTGTAGCTATCCAGGTATTTTTAAATTAGAAAGAGCAGATGAAAGTTGTTTTGCAGAAAATAAAAAAAAAAATAAAAGAAAAAGAAACAACATTATTTATAATACCAATAATGGCAATAACTGAGATGGTGGTAATATTTCCATTATAAATTGTTACTTTTACAGTTTTATAGTTATGACATAATAACATTTTTCTAATTGAATTTTACTATTGCTGGACTCATCTCAATTCCTAGTATAAGTATGAATTTAGTGACTGAGAAACTCATAAAAATGATATTAACATTTTCTTTCTTTTTTTTTTTTTGACTTTATTAAAAAAAAAAAAAAGGCAATCTAAAAAGAAGAATCATAGGTCAGAAAAAACAGGCATTCAAGTGCAAAAGTTGTCTTTAGACCTAGGCTGTGAATTTGGTTCCCATTTTGAATCTGGGAGAGGTGAGAGTTGTCTCTGTCACAAAGAGACGGAGTGAAGGAACAAATTTTAGGCTAGGGAACAAAATGTCTATTGGAAACATTTATTCTAGGTAGCACAGTAGTTTGACAATAAATGTAATTTTATTTGGAAATATCCCAATACACTTGGCAGAAGGAATCAAATCTATCTGACTGCTTGTGGTTATTGTGACTTCTTTACGTTCTCTCAAGGTGTTATAACTTTGTGTACATTTCTACAGGTATGTATGGTCTACCAGAAAACCCTCAGTTTTACCAAAAGGGGATTAAATAAGTGTCTGTTCAGCATAAACTAAATTATTTTGAAAAATGGGGACAAGAAAGTAAAACATCTTTAAGAAAGGCAGCTTTAATTTTTGTACCTACAACTGCAATAAACATCCAGTGAAGAGGCTAGGAGCTGTGAGGTTGTAAAAATAAATAAATAAATAAATAAAATTCCAGTAGAGAGCCACTAAGAAAGAAAGTGCCTGTAAGGATGTCCCTCAGTCTACTTTTTTTTCTAAGCAATGCGAGTTCACTTCCCTTTGTATCCATGAATATACTATATACCTCAGACCAAGAATCTATTTCAGTCTTCCACTGGCAAAAAAACACTGTAGAACAATGAACCAGATTCAGGGGTGCACAAAGGACAAGAATGCAAAGGAAAAATTTCAAAAACAGAAATTCAGGCTGGACAGATGAACAACTGCTTCAAAATGAGCGTATAAACACTGACATGGGTTGCCCGGGAAGGATGTGGACTCTCTGTCCTTGGAGGTTTTCATAACCTGTGTTGGCATTGCCCTGAGCTTTGAAGATGAGGTGGAACTAAATGACCTCCAGAGTTTCCTTCAAACATATTCATATTGTACAAGAATATGTGATTCCAAGAATGATGGTAAATAATAGAGAAAAAATATCAATTTTAAGAATCATCACTACAGTTGAAGAGTTTTGTTTTAAATTCATGTGGAAAATTTATCATTTCGCATTCCAGTCTATAATTCAGACTCCCCTGATACTTGCAAAATCATAACTCAGCTAACATTTGGATATATATTCCATAGGTAAGAACTGTGGAAACTTTCATTTGATACCCAGATGCCTACATTTGGCTTGTACAAATCTGTTTCCATTCTGACACTTGTGAACTACTGAGTACTAGCAGTGAAGTCAGGGATCCAGACTATCTAACTCTTACATGTGGGACTGCACTGTCAAAAATGCTTAGATGTATATACAAAATAATGTTGTGAGTCTTAAGGGCTACCGCCCCAATGGGCAAAGTGCTCATGGGAGACATTCCATCTGAACAAAAGGAAAAACCTCTTTATTGTGAGGGTGACAGAGCAGTGGCACAAGTTGCACAGAGAGGATGTGGAGTCTCCTTCTCTGGAAATACTCAAAAGTTATCTAGACAAAATCCTAGGCAATGTACTCTAGGGAACCCCCTTTGAGAAGGGAGGTTGGACTAGATGATCTCCAGAGGTCCCTTCCAACCTCAATCATTCCGTGATTCTGTGACATTTTGGTTCTCACTTTTTTTGCATATTTAGATTTTGGATAAAAAGACTCTCTATTGTAAGAAAATAACTTAATCAAGAAACTATATGAATTTTATGGATAAATCTTTCTTAAAGCTTTTCTACTTAATGTGAATAGTTGAATACTAGCTGACACAAGGGAAGAAAAGATGAGCTAAATCTGTGCTTCAGGGCATTCACCTTGAATGAAGGAATGTCAGATTGGATGCCTGGGGCATTTTATTATGGAAAGGAAAACAGTTTTCTGTTATGGGCTGTGACAGGAAACAATTTTGCCCATATGTCTACATGCTGCAACCAAAAGACAGATTTCTCTCTGAGGGAAAAGGACCTTCCAAAATTGCCCAACTTGAGCAAGTTCAAGGTTTTTTTTTTCCATGAATCACGTAAATACTTTGCCCTGAATACTTCAGTTTGCATTCTTTACATTCTTTCATTTAATCTTACTTTGATAGCTTTTGTGGAACCCTAAGGTTCAAACTGTTTTTTTTTTTTTTTTTTTTTTTTTTTTGTATGTTTGTTTGTTTGTTTAAACATATATATGTATACATATATATATATATTTTTTGGCTGGTATTTACATGCCTTTGTCTACATGTCCAGACAGATGTAGATATATAAACAAGAGAGGAAGCTTTATTTAAAAGCTTTATTTAAAGAAAAGTTATACTGTTCTTCTGGCAAAAGAAGGCAAATCATACTCATTGCACAAGGAAAATTATACAGATCACAGAGTTTTTTATTTTCTCCAAGAAAACAATCATCAACAATGTTTTTAATGAGTGTCTAAATTCATCACTAAGACAACACTAATAATACTTTTAGCTGTTAGTAAAAAAAAAAAATCCACATGACTTAAAATGGTTTATGAATGCTGCCTGTGCCTTCTGTCATATTTAGTCATAAGAGCTTAAGCAAACATAGATTATTCTGGTTATCATATAGGCCATGTTTTTATTGTTGCAGAAAACTACCTACTATAGAATCTCTGCAATGGAGGTTGGAAAAATCAAATATTTTTTCATACTCAGACTCTGTTAGTCTTTTTTGTTCCCAAGAGACAGGCACGAATTTTTATGAGGGAAAGCAGTAATGTCTAGGAAAACAATGAGAATGGCAGCACTATTTTTTTTATTACTTTTTTTTTTTTTTCCAGAAAACATAACCACCTCCTTAAAATGATATGACATTGGCTAACTTTAGGCTTCTATCATTCATTAGATGTGCAAAAACTCACATATCTTATATCTCTTAAGAATATCCCTTGAGGAGCTGCTTGCTAGCTGCATCTCTGAGGACAGTCTCATTGCCTGCAAGGTAGCACAACTTTCCTTTAATCATATATTTTCTTAATAGATATATGGGCTCCTTGCAGCAGTTGTTATGCCAGCACTCATCAGAGAAAGACACTACTATACTACAATATTACTGACCTAGACAGCTTCTGTTTCAGGAGCTGTTAGTATGGAAGTTGCAGCTCCTTGTATCATTTCCACTGTAGCTCTAACAGTTCTTGTATCACTTAGTAGCACAGCCACGGAGATTGGCACAGTTGTCAGGTAGCCTTTGGATATGCAAAGAAAATGGGCTGTTAGATTTAACTGTATGGACAGTTATGCTGTGCAAAAGAACATTTTTGGTGTCTCCTAGCATGGGATAAGTTGTGCAAGAGAGCAGTGTTATCTGATCAGCCTGACTAGAGAATACATTCCAAAAAAATTATAAAGACACTTTGGAATGTACTGTATAATATCTGTAAAAATATATTTCTATTGAAACATATATGAGATTACAGACAGAAGCACTGGAAGTTTTTATAAATTTCATACCCTGTAAAACAATTTATTAGTAAGATTAAGATATCTAGAAGATAAACAAGGCTGAGCAATGTCTTTTAATTTTTTTATTTTTTTTTTCATGAACTTTCCAGTACCTTGCCATGTGAATCTGCTGTACATCTTAATTTTTAGACTGGTTTCCAAATGGAATAAAAAAAAAATGTTTCATGAACTTCACATTTAGTTTTCACCATGAGGACCATTTTACTGCCAAAGAAATAAACATCAAAACTAATAAGTTCTCAAAAGAATGCCAAAATTATATGCAACTCTGTGTTTATTCTGAAAAGGAATTGTGATTTTGTGTATAAAAATAAGAATTTTTTTTTATTATTTTTTTTTTTAATGCAGGTTCCTAAATGTGGGAAAGAAAATTCATCCCCTGCAGGATTTTTCAGTCCCACTCTGAACTAGTGAATCTAGTCCCACTCTAGATTCAGGATGACAGGTATTCAAAACCATGGCATGAGTTGTATATACCTGTATAGTACAGAAAGAAACTAGTCAGTTAGCTCTGGGCTTCACAGAAACTGTGTGATGAGTGGGAAATCAGCTAAGATAAAGAGTAGGCAATGATGGAACATGACCATGCTCCTTTATGGTCTCTGGAATGCTGCAGCATGTTTGGATAGTGATGGATGCATTAATTCTGGCATGGAGCTGGGCTGTGCATCTTTCTTCAGAGAAGAAGATGTTGTCAATTGGCACCAAAGTGCTTATTGAGGAATTTCATCTACAGTATAAAGAGATAGTTTCAACATATTTTGTCTGGAAGGATGATTAACAACTGGAGTGGTCATGGTGAGTGAGATTCTAACTTCAAGTTAGGACTCTGGAAGATAGCATGAATGCCTTTGGAAATGCCAATTCTGGAAAATTACAACCATCATGACAGTTAATTTCAATATTTTCCAGGGAGTATCTACATTACAAATTAGACCAAAATATGTTACAATTAATGGAATATAAAATTTGGGCTACATTTTCATACAGCTTATACCGTTTGGATTTTCTTTTTAAATATTAAAAAATCACCTGATCCTTGAATTTCTCATTTGGCAAAATAAGTATAGTATGGTTTTATTATAAGAGGACTACTATATATATACATATATATATATACATTTCAATAAGCTTTCTCAAAGAAAGATTTTTCTTTCTTTGAAACTCTTGTTATTCTTTTCAGAAGACAAATCTTTCTATAGGTCTAAGCTTCTCAGAATTAGGTTCCCTCTTGTGGGAAGCTAAATGTAGAAGAATTCAAACAATTTGCACTTCTTAAACAATAGAATTAAATAAGAAAACAAAAGAAACACTACTACAAAGATTCACTATCTGTTTTCACTATCTATTTTCACTATCTTTGTGCTACCTTCAAGTATTTAATCAATGATAGCTTACTTTTCAAAACTGGAGATATACAAAATAGTCATTGAGTGACTAATTCATGTTTTATTTTACTATTATTTTCCTATTAATCATTTAAAAAGTCATATGGAGGGCCAAGAACTCAGTGTATGTGTTTAACTGACAAATGTGTAATTTGGGTACTTAATTTAAGATACACTTACCATATAGTGTTGTACATCTAACATTTTAAAAATCAGGTTCCTGTTATTAATGTAGGATAGATTTGTCTCAATATTGAAATTGATGAAAACTTGAAAACAAACTAAGGTAAGAGATTAACAAGTACTTTTACCTGGTAGGTAATCTAAATCTAGCTAGCCAAGGTAAATACCAGATCTTGGCATTGTGTTGTGGAACTTTTGTTGTGTGACTGTGGTAAAGAGCTTAAAATATAGAGAGAATAGCCTTCTCTTGAACCTTTGTACTGTTCAAGAAGGCTGTTTGAAGGACTGTTGAGGAGAGGAAAATTACAAAGTCTTGAAATTACTTTAAGAGAAGGAGAGGGTCAGAGTTCCTGCTCCTAAATCTGTTTTTGATGTATGTTTGGTTTTGGTTGTTTTATTGTTGTTTGTTGTTGTTGTTGTTGTTTTTCACCAGGAATGATGTGAATGATGTGAAGTACCATGTCTATAGGTGCTGGGTCTGGCCGCCTGGGCTAACTGCATTGTCCTTTGAGCTAGACTGATGCCCTCACCCATCTGCTTTATTTTATGCTGCTTGGTCTTGCCAACCTGACTGCATATCTTTTAAAATAAGTAGAAGCTATTATTAATTGCAATATATCATGCAGGGTAATCTTTTGTCCTTCTGACTATGAGAACAGCCTGAAAATGAAAGCTTCTTCTCTATGTTTTAAGCAACAATGCAAAAAAGAGAAATATATCACCACTAAGTGCCAATCTGCAGAAGTGAAAGAGGCAGAGTGAACCCTGAATAAATATAAACACCTGGATTAAATGGATCACACGGCTGTCTGGAACTGCAGAATATATGGTGAAAGGTGCTTAAACTGTGCACAGACTTCGTATCGGCAGATTTTGAATCATCACCATTTCTCCAGTCGCCCTGAAGAGAGTTTAAGAGAATTTTGGGGAAGGCAAACTGATTTTCCTTTTAGGCAAGAAACCTAAAATTTTAGTAAAGTAGTACCTAAATTAGGCACACGGGATTGCAGTCTTTGTTAAATGGAGCAGTCCACAGGGCTGGTGAATTAGCTCTGCTTGCAGTGTACTCCTGGGTTTGCTGGTAATGAACTATACACATGCTTGATGTTTAACAGACCTTGCTTCATACTAAATCTGAATCATATGGCAGCCATTATTGAAAGAAAGCAATGCATTTCTTCCCTGTCAGCAATGTTGATACTGAAACAGAGCAACTGTTCTTACAGCAGTCTCAGTTGTCCATATCTCTTGTCTGTGGGTCTTTCTAGTCTTTGACCTTTTAGCCATTCCAGTCTTTCTTAATCATATGGGCTATTCAATTCCCAAACAAGTACACCACTCTGTTCAAGGAGATTTTATTGCCCTCTGTGGTTATTGGTGTCCCTCAATCTCTGATTTTTTTTGACAGTGACTGTTATGACATTGATTAGCAATGTGGACCAGTGGGAGAAATATGGAGCAAAAATTCTGTAATAGTTTCAGACATTCTTCTTAAACTAGGATAATTTCAGCCATATTTTTTAAAAGACGTCTAGGATCCACGGAATAGGTATTTGCAGGATTTTTATTATATTCATGTTTACACTTCCTTTTATTGTCATGTGATAACATTGCAAGCACAGGGGGTTGGACCTGATGATCTCTTGAGGTTCCTTCCAAACCCTACAATTCTGTGATGCTGAAATACAGTTTTAGAGATAGTTCACGATCTCAGAAACATTTTGTGTTTCACTGATATTTGTCTTTGATTGCTCAGCTTTGCAACTTAAAAGTGACCTTGTTAACACAAAACTCTCAGTCCCCTCTTACTGAAAATAAGGCTCTGGAAAGTCTCTCAAGTTGGATACTCACATTGAAAAGCCTCCAAAACCATTAGTCATTTTTGGAAATCTTGGCTATGGCCTTTTATTAGTCTGTAAAACTTTATCACCATATATTTCACCCTTTAAATAATAAAGATGATGGAGAACCATACAAAACAAATGCATGAAGGAGAATTTGTGGGTAATCTTAATGGCTTCATGGAAAGTAGACTTTTCTGCAACATCTGCTTGGGCACCCAAACAGTCACATGTTCCTGAAGAGCTCTTTCCAAAACTTGGGAGTGCATGTGAGAATACATATTGCAGCCATCACAGTCTTGATATATTCTTAAAAATATTATTGATTTTGAGGAATTTTGTCTCTATTTATTTATTTATTTATCCCTACAGTTTGTATCAGTAAAAAAAATGCACCTTATAAAGAATCTCTTAGCAAATGCTTCTGTTCTTTTCTTCTCCTAGTGAGGAACTGCATCTTTAAAAGGGATGGCAACATATGTGTTTGATAAGGATCAAATTTATGGTCTCCAGATCCACAAAGGTCTCATTGTGACCTGCTTCTCCTTTGCTAAACAGTAGTTCACTCAAATAGTACCACTACCTGTCACAAGGTAAGGCAAAAGTCCCTTGTCCATGACTTCTGTGATAACATAATGAACATCTGTACATGATTAGCAGGTTAAAGGGTAAATTCAGACCCTCCTGAAGTATAAGATAAATTCTTTCTTTTTAAATGTGCAACATCTGGGAACTTGTATTTAAGTGTGTCACAGAAGATATCTGCCACCAATACTCACTGTTTAAAACCTTTCAGTATAACATTTGTGAAGGTCTTGGCTTGTTCTTTAATGGTGAACAGATCTCAGAAAGTCCATATCTTCACTATGTACTCCATGAAGATTTAGAACAAATACAAACCAGATTTGCATTGTATTGTCTGGCTTTGACAAGAATCATAGATACACTTTTAATGTTGAAGCCTCCTTAAATAATTTGTTACTGAACTCACAGCTATTGTAACATTCATACAGTAGCACTTTCTGCTTTTACCCACCTCTCTTCTGTGGAGTCTAGCTGACCATCTTTCTTGTCATTAATATGCAGCACCATGACTGCTGCAGGATGTCAAAGGTAACATTTTAAGGCCTAGGTGTTTAAAATGGCACACATAGTGAAAAATTGAATGTTGTACATATAATTTTTTGTTTACAGGCATTGCATCTACTCAGAGATAGAAACTATAATTTTGAGGTATAGGTATAGATTGTTTTCATATAATTTAAGATTTTGAAATGTTCAGCATAGCACTCATGAAGGAATCAGTCTTATCCCTTACTTACAAGAAAGCTCTAATAATTTGTATGAGATGCTGGAGAGTCTGGAGTTCTAATAGGGTGGAACACATAAACACTTGTTTCATTTTTAAGCACATACTTACATGTAAACTATGTAAAAATAACAGGTAATGAGGATGTATTTTATTCCTATACAAAGTAGCACAAATATTTACTCATGAACAAATTTTTGTTATGTGTTTAACATTAACCTTACTGAAGTCACTGGAAGCTGAACACATACTTAAGAGTTGATTTACACCTTTTTGTTTTTGCAAGATAACACAGAAGAGTGAGGATTAAAATGAAGATTATATTACTAGATATTTCTTTCTGTTCTTAAATGTGTTTTTTTAGACATTCTTAGGAATCAAAGTATTAAACATTATGATATAAGTTGTTAGAGATTTTATTATTAAAATGAATTAGACTAAACTCTAATACATTATATAAATTTTATAACTAATATAAACATCAAAGTTATGAGGATATATTTTGTTTTTAGAGTATTTTCATTAGCTTTTCCCTTAAAATGCTTAGTCTCTGTCTTTGAATGTCTAGTTTTTCTTATATTCATCTGTTACTTTAAGTTTGTACCAGAAAAGAAAACAAAGTACTTAACATCAGAAATATGTGTCTATGCTTTGGAAAGCAAGTTGGCTGGAAAGTGTTTACTTCAGATCGATGATAAAACAAGATAATTAATATGTGCCTTGATAATTAAAAACAGAGATCACTGCAGGAGGCACTGGAGAGCATGAATTCTTAGAAGAAATATATGCAAAAATATATATATATATAAAAAAAAAAAAAAAAAAAAAAAAAAAAAAGCATGCTTTAATCCTTAGAGAAATGGAAATAGATGTTATTAAAAAATTCTTAGCGAATGCTTTTGCTATCTTCTTCTCTTAATCAAGAATTATGTCTTTAAATAGCATGGCAGCATCTGCATTTGATCAAAATCAAATAAAAGATTTCCGTAGGAGCAGATGGCACTGTTTTTCATTCATTGTGGCCAGTTCAGGTATCATGAGAATGAATTATGATGCAAGCAAGCTTTGCATGTAAAGTATCAATTGACAAAAATGTTGAATAAAGGTACATTTTGTGTTACCTGTTTCATCTAGACCAGTTCCTCTAATCTGCTAAACTATAAAAATCAAACTACTTCAACTCTGTGGCTGTTTGACATTAAAACCAGTATTTCCTGTCTTTTCTTGCTTAGGTGCTGAGGTGCCTTAGCTATTTTAGGGGTTAAAAGCTGTAGTCACTGATGCGTATATATTAGGCTGTATTCATAGAACACAGCTTGTAGCCTGAGTCAGGCTATTACGGTCTAACAACAGTGACCAATAGAAAGAAAAGAAGATCCAAGAAAGCTGAGGTAAGCCCAAATTCTGAAGCAATGTCAAATTAGAAACAATAGCTAATAAGGTGTGTATGGTAATACAGCTGGGAATGTTAGCATTCATTTCAAGTTTTATATGCTATTAATTCTTAGAAGAACAGGAAGCAAAACACAGTGGTTAGCAGCCAAAAGGAGCCAAACACTGATTTTTAACTGGCTTCAGATAGCTCCAAGAACTTGACTAACAAGGTAAATTACTTTATATTTCTTTTTAAAAATGTTATTAAAGTACTATTTCGCTGTGTAACTTAAATATGTTATTCTTCAAATACTTGGAATATTTCCAGATAGCAGAATGTAGGGCTGTAAGATCTGTAGGATACTGCACTTGTTACTGGTAATAACAAAAATGAAAACTATTAAATGACTACATATAATATGCAGAGATTAACTGAGCTATTAACCTTACTTTTTCATTAACCATATGAGAGAATTCCCTCTGTATTTAAATACTATTTTTGCTAAAACTAATCTCTTTATTTGACCAGAAATCTCAGCTCTCTCTTACCTCTTCATTGCAAAAAAGAAAAAAAAAAAGAGTTTGTGAAGCCTTTGTGCTGCATAGATATGTCCTGTTGTAGCAAATTATCATTGAAAATGTTGCTCATTTTTTAATGATAAAAGAGTATAAACAAAGCAAGTAATTAAGTAGGTAAAACTGATACAAGAAGCATGAATGTATATGATATACTTTCTTTAGGACTTTTTCTGTAATTTAGATCAGGCATTTATTTTGGCTGTTTGCTTTAGAGAAAAAAAAAAATAAAAAATTAAAACTTTGGATTTGAAAGAGAGAGGGAGGGGAAGGGTGTCCATATTCCGTCCAAGCTGTTTAAGAACATGCCCAACAAACAGCTGTTAAAACACTCTTTGATCTTTCACTTTTCTGTGATGACAAAAGACCTGGAAAATCTGATCCAGATGCCACTATAATTTAGGACAGAGGAAAAACAGAAAAAGATTTCATGTTTAATTTTAAATGGAGTAACACAAAGGTATAAAGATCATCATAGTATTGATAGCATTATTGAAAATAATACAGTTCCTTAACTAGCTTATGCAAAACAGCTCTGTATAGGAAAACTTAAATAAATTTCTAAGAAGAAATGATTTATTGTCAGAGAAATGATCCGTGTTTTCAGATTCTTTGAAATTATATCTGAAAGAACATCTGTTAAATTGGTAGTAAATGTAAAAACTAAGTTGAATCAGGAAAATGTTTAACATTTAACACTTGTATTACTGTTAAATTTGTCCTGAACATGCTATATTAATGCCATAGGTAACTGAATTTGGCTGTTCATAAAGGAAATATTATTTGCAATGTAATACAGTTTTGTTAATCTGGTATATTGTTAGAGAATTGTGTTAAAACAACTAATTGTTTTTCTCCCCTTCTAAGGCAAAAGATGACTCTAAAAGTCTGTCCAAGCCTTTTGCTCTTATTCTTAGCTCATTCTGTGTGGACTCGAACTGTGAGACAAGTTTATGATGACCTGGATCCTGAACATTGGTCTCACTACACTTCTGAGTGTCCACAAGAATGTTTTTGTCCTCCTAGTTTCCCCAATGCATTATACTGTGATAACAAAGGTCTTAAAGAAATACCTGCAATCCCAGCAAGAATTTGGTACCTCTATCTTCAAAACAACCTAATTGAAACAATTTCAGATAAGCCTTTTGTGAATGCCACTCATCTGAGGTGGATAAATCTGAATAAGAATAAAATTACCAACAGTGGAATTGAGAGTGGTGTGCTGAGCAAGCTGAAAAGGTTGCTTTACTTGTTCCTTGAAGATAATGAATTGGAAGAGGTGCCTGCTCCATTACCAGTGGGCTTGGAACAGCTAAGGCTGGCTAGAAACAAAATCTCCAGAATCCCAGAAGGAGTCTTCAGCAACTTGGAAAACCTCACTATGTTAGATCTGCACCAGAACAATTTGTTGGACAGCGCTCTTCAAAGTGACACCTTCCAAGGACTCAACAGTCTTATGCAACTCAACATAGCAAAAAATTCCCTTAAAAAGATGCCTTTAAGCATTCCAGCTAACACACTGCAGCTGTTTTTAGACAACAACTCCATTGAAGTGATACCAGAAAACTACTTCAGTGCAATACCCAAAGTGACGTTCCTTAGGCTGAACTATAATAAGTTATCTGACGATGGTATTCCCCCAAATGGGTTTAATGTTTCATCTATTCTAGACTTACAGCTGTCTCATAACCAGCTCACTAAAATTCCACCTATCAATGCTCGTCTTGAGCACCTTCACCTTGATCACAACAGAATCAAAAGTAAGTGTGTATTGTCAATTAACATTAATTCTTTGAAAATGACTGTTTAACTACAAAAATTACTATTTGAAAACAAAGAGTAAAAATGTGCCACAGGCTATAGGGAGATAAGCAAAAAAGCTCCCATGGGCCGATTTTCAAGTCAGTTTTAAATATGACAACCAAATATATTTATGTAAGTAATACCACATTTGATTTGTTAATTCAAATACTGAAAATAAATAAATAAATAAAATAAAATACAAGCAGATCAGAAGGTCAGAAATATAGGTGGCTTAAGGAAATTTTTTCCCTTCACATTTTGATTATTGCATACATATATATATATACATACATACATATTTATATATATATACATATAGACTGCTAGTTTTCCAAAGCTCATGAGCATCTTAGAAGCTTCACTAAGCTAACAGAAACAAAGATCAGCTGATTTGAACATCTCTCTTTTACCTAAGTTACTTAAATAAAAAAAAAAAAGGAGCCTAATGTGAGAGACCCTTACAGCAGAATAAAATGTTATCTGCAGTCAAAATGGTCTTTTTCTAATAGAACATTGTGGCTATTGAATATTTCAAGCTTGAATATTCTACCCATGTTTTATTTTTTTATGTATGAAATGCTGGTATTTATCATTAACCTTTCTTCCTGAAAATTCTTTTAACTAACTTTACAGAAACTTCATTCTACTAATGCTTATCTCCTCAAATGTCTTCTTTGTATAAATGACACAAGACTTTATTCTCAAGGCAATAGAAGCCCATCATGTCATAATTTTGCTTCTAGCAATGTTTCAGGCATTCATCCTTGTACAGCAAGAACATGGTAGTTAGGTATATAGGGTAGAGAGAGCATCTGCTCACAAGTTCTGCAGATCCTTTAAGATCCAAGTTCTTAAATCCCTTAGTTTACTTATCTGTGGTTGCCTTTTGCTAGGCAGTACAGTAAGCTGTTTCATGCCAAAATCAAAGTAATCGCTTTCTAATTATCACTGTACAGAATATATTCACCTCTCCACATTTTTCATCTTGTTACACTGATTTAATTGAATAAATGGTTCCTTACTTCTCTGTTGTATTACCATAGTTCACAAAGATACTAAAAATAACAATTTGGCTGCTCTATCAAAGAAAAATATACCAGAAGAAGATAACCAATAATAATTTAATTAATTGAATGCAGCAAATCAAATGTATGAAACCTCATAAAGACAAATAAATTTTGTACAACCCAAACATATTTAACTGGCCTGCAAAAAGCCTAACAGTTAATTAAAGTTAGGGGTCATGACATATACTGTCACTGAACATGTTTCATTGCCCCCTTGGCTGCAAAGAGATTTAGCTTAATTGTTTCACTAAATGGCCTCAGGAGTAGACTTTATCTCCTGTCTCTTTAAATGGATACTAAATTAAGATCAATGGAATATAACTTGCCCAGTTAAGATGTGTTTTGTGTCCAGGTAACACAGACCCTTTGAAATCCTACCAAATTATTTTATTTTCTTTAATAAGATAAAAAAATATGTTAAAACCAGGAAAAGTCACACATCTAGTAGCATTTTCCAATTAGTCTGTCATAATAATTTTCTACAAGATTTACATTACTAAATGTCTTTACCACTTTTCAAAATGGGACATTCATTAACTGCTTAATCACTTTGAAAGGTTGTTCTTTTTATTTATTTATTTATTTTTTTCCCAATGAGGATTTACTCTAAGTAGCCGTGTATAAAATGGTCAAATAAACTTTTTAAAAAAAGAAGTCTTTGGGCCAAGCAGCAATACTTTTCTATCAGAATCCATTATATAGCATTTGGAAGAAAATGGTAAAATGGTACAAGTTCTAGATTCTGACTTATTGTCAGACCCCTGAGCTATAACTGCTACTGGCTTCTTTGCTGAAAGAACCCAGAAACATACAATTTGCCATGTTTGTCCTTGGCTTCTGTAGTTAATATATAAAAAGGAAAAAGGAAGTCCAACTATTTGAGTTAGACCACAATGGGTGCAGCTGTAGGTTACAAGATTAAACCAGAAGCATCCTCCTGATCATATATGTCATAACAGATTAATCTTCTATATAAACTCATTTTCTAAACGTTGAGAGGCTATGAGTTTTATTGATAAAAAAAAAAAAAAAAGATTCTTTCTGGTTCTTCAGCAGATACACGGTGTTAGTAAGTAACGAGGAAGCTTTCTTCTATAGCAGCTCCAGAACCTCATTTTTAAATATTCTATCAATACTGTTGACCACGTATGGATTCATGTTATTTGAATAAATCATCCCAGATTATAGTATCTATTTTGAATTAGTCATACAGTCTTCCAACTTAGGAAATGGAAAGTGATACACAATTCCAGAAGGAAATTCAATCCATTTTAGGGAGATCTGAATCACCTTTTGAATGTATCCATCTTTCCAAAGTTTATAAACAGAGTCAAATGATTTGCTTAGGCTGACACTATTGTCTGCATAGATCAGTTTAGGTGGATGCATTCCATACAACTGGATTGCCCTGTCCCTCTTGCTTCTGCTGGTAAAATTTATCAATATACCTATGAACCCCAAGTTTGAACGAGAAGAAAGAGAGACTTTTACTCTTCTGATAATTTGGCAGGATTTGTTACTTACAGGAGGAAAACAGTAAAAGACCAAACCTCTTCATACTACACATCATCAAGAAATCATTTCACAGGTTGCTTGTTACATAATTTCTTGCTCACATTAAGGTTGGAGTAATTAACCCAGTGAAGACTATTATACTGAGATATTCTCTAGATCAGAGAACACAGAGGTTTAGAATTCATTTGAAGCCATCTTGTTTCCTAGGGACAGCATTTTGACTTGAGAAGATATATTTTCTGCTACATAATGTCGATTCATTTGTAAAACTTGGAAATACCATGTAAATATCGTTTCCATAATGATAGTCTCAAGCTTCCTGCTTCATTTTCACACAAGAAAAAAAAGTTGTACCTTGTTTCTTCCAAGAATATCAAATGCCTTCCCAAAATATCAGATGAATTAATAAAATTTCACAACATAGGCAAAGAGGATTTGATATAATCTTTCTGATAAAATATGCAGTCCTTGCCTGAATAGATATATTCATCTAGTTTCCATGACAAAGATAATGTTTGTTTCCAAGGTGTTGCAAACATCTGTACTATGTTATTCAGAAATATTATTTTTCTTTTGATCAAATCAAATCAAATCAAATCATGTTTTATTTTAAATGAATTTTGGGGTTTGTAATCAGATATTGTGAATATACTATTGTTGATATAATATGTGGATATTATTATTGCTAAATACATGTATAAGGGAGAAAAATGGCAAAAAGCTTTTCTTTTTCTGTTTCTAGGGTACTCAGAAAAAAAAATCTGTTACATTCTCTATTCAAGTAGTTTTTGCAGGTGGTCTGGCGCCAACAAGATCTTAATGCAGTCAGATTAATTACTAAAGACTGTAATTTGGTCCAAGTAATTTGACATCTTTGATAAGCAAACACCGCCAGTATTTTCTAGAATAAGGCTGAAATAGGTCAATATTGTTGTCATTTTGAACATGACATCTTCAGTGAAGTATATCTGCTAAAAATTGTGCACTATAATTGCAGTAAGAGGTTTGAAATTCCTCAGCATTAGCCTTGTTTTGGTCCCTCTGAGGTCAAAGAGCTATGTCTCAATAAATACAGACAGTTGTCTAAGCTAGTCTCTGTCAAAGAAAAATCTCTGTCCAAGAAAAAATTGTGTATCTTATGTATCTAGTACCTTTTAGTCATAATTACAGAACATTAAATATGCAATTCACTGTTCTAGATTACATTATTTAACATGTTTTATTACATTAACAACAAAGTAGTTAATTGTTAATTCTGTGTTTTTCCAACTCTGACAAGTGACTCCCATAAAAATACTGGTGAAAGGCTGTCATATTTGTCTTCTAAACACATTTTATCTTCATGAATCCTTCCTGTGGAAATTACCTAACATGTTTAATCTATATTTTCAGGTGTCAATGGTACTCAGATATGCCCAGTCTCAATTACTGTACCAGAAGACTATGGTTTTTATGGTAACATTCCTCGCCTCCGCTATCTACGCTTGGATGGAAATGAAATTCAGCCTCCAATTCCATTGGACATCATGATATGTTTCCGACTACTGCAGGCTGTTGTCATATAAACGTATTTCAGTGTCAGTCTTGTGCTGTGAGATCTCTAAGATACAAGTTTTGCTGGAATGAAACTTGTTCCAACTCATAAATCAAGAAATAAGAGTTTTATTTTGACTTTAATTTGTTCTTTGCTTGCATCTTTTCTACAGCTGAAAAGATTGTTCTTCTTTTAGAAGAGATTTTGGATCTACATAAGACATGCTTAATACTTTACCTAAGAATTCCTAATGCAAATATGTTGAAAAACATCTATAGTACTATTCAAAATATTCCAAAAAGAATTCTTACCTACTCTATCTCTCTTGTCAAAACCTGTGATATCTAACCTATTAACATCATTGGTATAGACAAATTATATCTCCATGTAGTTGTTACCTAGTAACTAGCATGAAGAATGTGGATGCACTTGGCTAAATATATGATAGAAAAATCATGTTTTACATGAACACTATCTATCAAAACTGTCAGTCTTTAGGATAGTCACTGTCTAACAATGAACAGCTACTTACCATGTAAATAATTCATAAATTGTTGTCATCCCTTGAAGATGGGAAGACTGATATTGGTATTTTAAGACATGAAATGTGTGAGATTTAGGCCCCAAAACAATATACCAAATATATATTGATATATGACTTATTCAGTGTGTGATTTCAAAATTGAAATACACTTATCCAGCTCAAATCCTTACAAGGGTATATGACATGAAATCTTACTCTATCAAAGTGACAATTTTGTGCTGTTTCTTTCTTCAGTATTCCATTTCTAATGTTGACATAATTTCTTTCTTCAGTTTTAGGACTGTCATTGAGTATTTGGTTTATATTTTGTTTCCCTAGAGATAAAACCAAGTAAAGTAATGATTCCCTATCACAGAGTAGGTGCTTCACAGAAATTAGAATGTCAAGTTAATATAACAGTAATAAATATAAAATTAGGAAATTAAGAGAAAACATTCCCTTGAATTGCAACTTTCAGAGTCTTTTTTTTTTCCCCCCCAAAAAAAAGCCTTTCAGAGGCCTCAGGCCTTATTCTCCTCCAGTGCACTTCTGTATATAATTCAGTATAGAAACCCAACATAGAAATAATCTCTTTTTCTGAAATCCTATTATGAAAACCTTTATTATTGCAGTTCATTTTATGTGATTTCTGGGAAACTTCTGCCATTTTAGCAAAATATTTTCTGTTCCTCTATGTTCAATCTATATGAAAAAATACAGAAGATTTAAAAAGTCTCTACAGTATATATGCATGTTTACCTATGTTCTTTAATTTAGTAATAACATAGTAATTTATTTTTTGAAAAGAAAATTTTGTGTGACAGTGTTACTAATTAAATTATAACAATCATCTGCTTGTACTTGGAAATTAATTTCTACTTACAACAAAGAAAAAATATACATATTACAGTGTGGGTATTTAGAGGTATATATGCACATTATTATAAGTCCTAATGGACAATATTGGAAAGCATCCTAAAGTTCCAGCCAAAGATTATGACACTTTAGACACTATCTGGTTTTAAAACCAACCAACAAACAAAAAAGACTAACCCTTCTCCAAAGAGATGTCAAAATTATCTATTAGATAATTTAATCTATTAGAACTAAAAACATTCAGGGACAATGGAATGTGAATGTACTGAGTTTTCTTGGTAGGGACATTATGTTTTCTACAATACCATTGCTGTTAATGGTTGCTTTCCCTCAGCTGGGTTGATATCAACAGATTTTTTTCCAATTGATGATATGTGACTGTAGGACGGATAGCCTTATGAATTCTTCAAAGGTCTTTGTCTGTCTTCGGAACAATCTTTGTACATATGCGGATTGATCCTAAGGACTTGTAATTGGCAAATCCCAGTTAGTCTCAATGAAGACAAAAGTTCACAATACTTCCTTGGACAAATTTATTAAGTTGAAGAGCTGTTGTTACCAACTGCTTTATGTCTTACACCTTTGATACAACCAGCTGACTTCATATCTGGAAAGAGTTTAACAAAAAGAAAACCCTAAGTATCCCCATTTAGGCTAATTTGTCCCATCTTGATTGCACAGTAGAACGAAAAATATCTATAGAATTAAATAATTCAATGTAAAATGAAAAATAGGTTTGTTGCTGCACTGATCTTCACAAGATAAATCAACCTTAGTTGAGGGTTGAGCAGTTTTACTGCATTCATAACTCTATTTGCAATGGTTTAGATGTTCTAAATATTCTGGGAAAGTTGGTGAAATTCCCTCTCAGATTCCAGTAACAGGCCTAAATCACATCATTTTTGAATCACATGACTGTATTCATGCTTAAATCTTTCTGCTATCACAGATGAATCAAACAATATAAAGGAAATGGGAAACTGATGTAGGCTTTCAGCCACATCTCATCTAATTCATTTGTCATGCCAGAAGACTAAATGAAACAGTAAAACACACTGCCTTTTTCCCTATGAAGAGGATCTCTAAAACAATGTAAAAAGCATCATTGTGCTTGAAAGTCTGATGTTAATTCTTCCTAATCCATGGTTCCTCTAACTCTCACCACTGATATTTTATGGTTCAGAAAAAGTGCAGCCTCTTCCACTGCAAGGAGGGAGGAGCAGACCACTCATCTGTCCAGTCTGAATGCACAACTACCATCATAAAGTTGACATCTGTTTCACTTAATTACCAAAGTGCATTACAAACTGATTTGAACGGATTATCATGTAAAGAAGCAACTATGTTTAGAAGAAGTATGTAAAACAGAATAAGTCAAGTCACCTTAATAACACTGCAACTGTGGTCAATAGCTAACCAAGCCACAAATACCTAGTGCTTTGCCAGAAATGCATATTAGGTATGAGTTAATTTTGAAATGATGACAGTTAACACGGATGTGTTAACACCTCAGCTCAGCGTATGGATGGTTGCACTGTAAAGAAAAGCATTAAAAAAGTGAGGCTCAAGAAGTGAGAAGTACCCAGACATTTCTGACATATCTGCCAACTTGATTGAAGTTTGCATTATGAATTTATCAAAAGCCTGTAAATTTTTTTTTAATGTAGCTGGCTCTGCAGAAATAAATCCTTTATAGACGCTGCCAGCATAGTTAAAACAAACAAACAAACAAACAAACAAACAAACAAAAAAAAACAACTAAGAGTTGACCAGCTTCATAAACTTCTCTAGCATTTTCTGTTTCTTTCTCAGTATTCCAAGCAGTTTGTTACCACTTTCTTCTTCTTCATTTTTAATGAAAAACACCACAATGACAATCATCTGCAGAGAATCCAGTGACCACAGAAGTTTGTATAAAGCTTGAAGGAAAAAATACAAACAATAAGAGGTAAATTTTTTGAAGATGACTAGCAAGCCAATTTGCATGTTTGTGATTACAAATTCCAAGACATATCCAGTGTTATGCCTGCATTCAGTGTGCCTTGTTGCACCCAAATGGTTTCCAATTTTAGTCACATATACTTCCTCTCTTTTTTCAGCCTAGAAAATATATTTCCTAATATTATACTGTAGTTAGTTACATTATCTATCTGGAATTCTATTACTCTAACATATAAATTGCTATGTTGGGTGTTGAACAACTAGTATCCCATTTCTGCAATGTGTGACAAAGAATCTTTGGCATTGTTGAAGTCAGCGAGTAAATATCTTCCTCTTCTCTGAAAGTCTTCTCCATAAGTTTTTGTTCGTTTGTTTGTTTGTTTTTGTTTTTGTTTTTGTTTTGCTTTCCCCAGAATCACTTACTCTGGGGAGTAAAGAAGGGTAAGTCTACATGCCAAAACCCTTTGTGAGTAATGATACACAGGAGCATTGCTAGCCATTTCACATCAAGCATCTGAAGCAATATAATCCCATCTGCATAATATTCTGCCTTAGCTAATTTACTTTCTTCTTCATTAGTACAGTTAGCATTATTATCCTAAGCAAGCATATTCTATGCTTGCTCTGTCAGTGCTAGTTCAAACAAATCTATATTGCAATGAATTTTAAGAGTTTATCAATACAGTTGTTTCTCACATCCTTGCACTGTTACAAATAGCATGGGTATTCTTGCTGTTTTTGTCTTACTTTCTGCAGCATATACATTTGACCAGCCTACCTGCCTCTTGATCAGCTAGATACAGTATTGTTTCCTCGGTGTTTTTAGGTTAAACATGTTTATGCATGCTACAGTAGTGGCTGTTCTGATTTTGCCTAGTTCCTGGCAGCTCAGTCATATCTGTTTTTCTCTAGGGAAAGCACTTTCTTGACTGCTGCTCATGTTCCACTGCAGAGCAACATGCCCTACTGCTCACAGTACTCACACCTCCTCCTACACACATGCACGAACCCAGGCTGATGCTGTCATGCAGAGAGAGTATATCTGGAAATGTCATTTCCAAGGCTTTTGTTCCCCCCAGTCTTTTATAGGAAAAATTGTGAAGAAACTGGAATCACATCTTCCACAAACAGATCTGTTCCTAATTAGGGACTGGGGCAATAAAAGTCATACATGGAATCAGCAATGCTCAGTGAAACCAGGCTTTTCCAATAAAGCATTTACTCATGAAAATATTAGTTTTTCTGAATTATTAGTGAATTCATAAAAAATACACAAATAGCCACAGGGAAAAAATATAACAGTGCTCATGCTTCTCAATAATCCTCTAATGAGACACTAAAATAGCATGCTAGTGCCCTTCTCTAGGTAATGAAACCCTGGAATTTGCCTTAAAATTTACTCCTACTACTAGGAAGCTTATTTTCAAGAAGGGTGATCTCCTTGTGATTCTCTGCATTGTTTCAGGACTTGAAATAATCCACTGAAACTCTACACTGGCAATGAGGATAGCCTTCTTATAGGATCTAGGCTCAAATCCATCAGAGAGTGAACTGGAGTGTAGATTTTTTTTTCTCTCTGAGGAGGCTGTTTTGATCACCAGGCAGGAGGTTCACTATTTTATAAATCTGAGCATTTGCTTCTTTTAACAGATGGAACTGCACCAATTGAAAACGAATGATAGCAGGCCTTCTAGATACAGCCCAGCAGCATGAAAAGCAGGAGCTACTCTGCTCGAATACACCTAAAATTCCTTGTCTGAGAAAGTGGCCAGGCACAGGACCCCTACAACTCTCTGACTTACTGGACAAAAGAAAAAGCAGTTGGTGAAGCTTTTATCTGAGAATGAAAGTGTTTGGGATCCTTTAAAAAGCTAGTAATTTTTGTATTTGAACTGACTCGATGCAAGTTCCTAAACACTGATTTTAAAGTACAACATAGAAACATGGTGTGAGGTTTATTTTCTGATTCAACTAGGAAAAAGAAAAAAGAAAAAAGAAAAAAAAAAAGATGAAAATGTTTAATTCTTAGTCAAATAATTTTTTTATTGGTCTGACCATCAAATAAATCAACTGAAAGAAAACAAACAAACAAACAAACAAACAAACATGCAACAACAAAAACTGTTCCCTACACAGGATTTCTGTGCTTTCTTTTTTTTTTTTTTTTTTTTTTTTCTTTCATTGTTATTTTTAACATTTTCTTTTTGTCTGAGATCCCATAACAGACTTTTCAGGTGTTGAAGAACATTGAGAATGATTTCTAGCAGCAATATTATGCATGCTTCTTATTCTTCTCAAGGCACTAATACAAATTATGCCCGTATTTTCCTACTTTTATGAGCTCTGTGTACATATCCCCCTTTGCGTGCTGTTTCAACTGTCATTGGTGTCAATGTTTGTGCAAGATGTCTGCATTGGAAACTGAGTATTTCCAGGATGCAAGGCTGCCTGTGGTGCCTGTTTTTTCCATATCCATATTTTGCTTCTTTGTTCTGTTAAATACACTCTCTTCCTTGCTGTGGACTGTACATTATAAACATTACGAAGAATAATGTGAAGAGACCTTGTTTTCCTAACATTTCTTGATACCTTTCTTACTCAAGCTGTCACAATGTTGTTGTACACACAAGAAGGGCTTGCGATAGACGGTTACAGGCTCTTCAGGAGGGACAGGCAGGGTAGGCGAGGTGGTGGGGTGGCGATGTATGTGAAGCAGGGGCTGGACTGTGTGGAACTTCAGGTCGGCGATGGCAAAGTTGAGAGCCTCTGGGTAAGGATCAAGGGACGAACGAATAAAGGGGATGTCGTTGTGGGAGTCTATTACAGACCGCCTGGCCAGGACGATAGCGCCGATAACTTATTCTTTACAGAACTAAGAGAGGCCTCGAGATTAACTCCCCTTGTCCTTATGGGGGACTTCAACTTGCCAGACGTTAACTGGGAGTGCCACACGGCTGACACGAGCAAGTCCAGGAGGTTCATGAAGCACCTAGATGATAACTTCTTGGTGCAGGTGCTAACGGAGCCAACTAG